AGTCAGTCAGTCAGTCAGTCAGTCAGTCAGTCAGTCAGTCAGTCAGTCAGTCAGTCAGTCAGTCAGTATAATCTAGCTTTTCAGGTTTATCGCTCTATGCCATCAGCCTCACAGGATTATTCAGCGTTGACACACCCCTACTGCATCTACTCCTTTTCTCGTCGCTGATCTCTGCCGTCGATCCGATCGCCGTCTTAGTGGTCTTCGAAGAGGTCAGAGTTAACCAGATCCTGTACATTACCGTTTTTGGCGAATCATTATTAAATGACGCCGTTACTGTGGTAAGCACCGCATGCTGTGAATATTATCAGTAATTTCATATCATCGCTAGAGCTGTAGGTATTGTATAACGTGTTCAATGCTTTTGCACAAATTGGCAGTAGCAACATTCTTCCGGTGGACATTATATCAGGATTTGTGTCATTCTTCGTCGTTGGACTTGGTGGAGTGGTTATTGGATTGATATGGTCGGTGATAACAAGCTTTACTACAAGGTAAAGTAATGGATATGTCATTATTCGTTGTTTCTATTCAATGATTATGTAGATACACTCAGCATGTGCAGGTATTAGAACCACTGATAATTTTTGCCATGGCTTATGCTTCATACCTCACGGCTGAAATGGTACATTTGTCCGGTATTCTAGCGTATGTGATTAACAAATTAAAATTCTAATGTGTGCCATATGATCGCTTTCATAGAATCGTCTTCTGTGGCATTACCATGAAGCAATACATCATTGGAAACGTCTCTAAGAATTCACAGACCACAATACGATACGCGTTAAAGATGCTCAGCTCAAGCTGCGAAACAGTGATCTTCATGTTCTTGGGCCTATCGACGGTCAGTGCGGAGCACATGTGGGACACCGCATTCGTCAGCCTGACAATCTTTTTCTGCCTGGTCTATCGGACAATAGGTGATATTGCCGAGAAACCACAACAAGACATTATAAACTCAACGCTTTCTTATAGGAGTGGTGCTGCAGACATTTTTCATCAACAAGCTGCGTCTCATTAAATTGAATACTATCGATCAATTTATTCTCGCTTACGGAGGCCTACGTGGGGCCATCGCCTATGGCCTTGTGATAGCTC